TACAGGATAGTTCTAGAAAATAGGTGGCGCCACACCAGTCACGTGACCTCGATGACGCAACAATATGCATAACACTTATGTAGTGAATGTCAAGAAACCTTCAGACAAATGTTGTAGCAATTTTTAACGTTTTTCTGTTTTTTTATAGTGATTATTTGAAATTCTAACCCTTACTTTTTCTTTTTGCCTTGCAGAATGTTCTGGGAGACTACACGTTCCTGATCTTTACAGTTCTATTGGCTTTTTTCTGGGTTTTTACTTATAAAAAAGTCCCTGAAACCAAAAACAAAACAGTTGAAGAGATTACTTCCATTTTTAGACAGAGAATGTATCAATGAGACAAGTTCAAATTTAAATGTTGAATGCAGTATGTGACAAATATGTATAAAAGAATTTTGGTACACAACACTATAGCTAACTCACCTAGATCTTACAGCACATCAGGAACAAGCAACACTTAAATTTTATCATCCCATACAGAAGCTACACGTATCCTTGCATCTGTGTCTGAACTGGGCAATAAATGGGCAAGCAAGCAGTTTTCTGTAGATATGAATCTTAATGTAACTTTCTTATCTCTCTTTTGACATTGTTGTTAACCCATTAGAAATTGCTAATAAGGCACTTCTTTTTTAAGCAACTTTAATTACTACAACAGATCTTTATCAAAACTGACAACAAATGAAAACATCCAACCTCTTTTTATGAGCAAACAAATTTAGAAAAATTTTAGCCACGAAGATACAATGCTTAAAAAAACAGTATGTAACAATTTCAGTTAATGTGCCTTCAATGATCTTATCATTTTTAAAGATATAATATTTCAGAGTATTTCAGTAAAAAGCATTTGATTGTTTTTACACCACATTAAAGCCTTCTGAATGTTAAGTGACTTACAGTAGTAACATCAAAAATACAATTACTAACTTTTATGATTTCACCCCATGTGACAGAGCACTTACTATGAACATGTCTTAGTCATTCCATACTAGACTGGCACACAGCTTTATCTCCAACTATATTAACCTATTCACAAGTCATGGGTATCAACATTATTTTCATGATGCATCTCGAAGAAAATTATTAGGAGTAATGACACTGTCTACCATTAGTTGGTGTAAATAATCATAAATGTTTATTAATCATGTTGTCATGATATCAGAAAATACACAGAGAAACACAAGAGCAATATGTATAAAAACAACAACAAATCACCAATTCATGACTAACACATTCAATCTAAAAATCAATTTCAAGGTCCCTCTAACTTCCAACAGTGTGTGTCAAAATGTCCTTTTTTCATAATTATTGCTTTAATGAAGTTATATATTTAAAATTACTTGACTATTTTATAGTTTAAAGCATTCAAGTTTTAAAGCACAATTTGACAGGTACCCACCCAAATTATTTGTATCATCACCAAACTGCTTTCGTAAGTTTAATCACACTTTGACATGAGATGTGCAAGTATCACAGTCAAGCATTCTGTAGTATCTAGACCTTCATGTTCAACTTTCCCAAAAAATTTATGAACAAAAAAATTAATATAGTATGTTTTGGCTGAAGAATATATTGATGTATATTATTGTTCCGAGCTCTGAAACTTTACTTTGTGTATTTTAGTATTAATTGTATTTACAAAGTAATTAAATTAGTATGTGCTACGAGTGATGAAACAGTTCAAGCCAAATTTCATATAACTATTTTAAATGTGATTGGCAAGATTTTATATTTAATAGTAATGTGTATGTGACATTACATCACATTATATTAGTGGCACAGTAAAGAATCATGCAAGCTGAAACATTATCAGTGTTACTGTAATGTATTATTATTATTACTGAATGTAATGTTCCACCAGCTAAGGCATTCTGCATGCAAATATATATATATCTAGTTTTTAAAAAGGTGTTTCTAATAATCAGTGTTTGCCCTATTAGACATAGATGTAAAAGTATTGAATAATACAAGCATTGTGATCAAACTCTTGCATTTTGAGAAAAAAAAACCATTAAATTATAGTATGAGATTTCGTTAGAACAATGAAGCTCATAACAATGTGTTTTTATACCAGTTAAAAGTCTTTGAAACTAGATTTCAATTTTCTTTATACTATAGATGCATTCAAAATTAATGAGAACTAGCAGCACTGTGTAAAAATCATAAGTACATGAACACATTATGTACCATTTACACATACTTGCATAAAAACTACTCTTAATTTTTCCAGTGCTATATACAAATACATTTATTTTCACTTATATGCAGTGGAAGTAACGAAATGTTTAGTAGCGAATCAGGCAGCAAATTAGATGGAATTTGTTGAATTTTTTAAACATTTAGTTTTGTCTTTTTTATGTTGGTTTTAACAAACTGGTTTTGTTGTGTGAGTGATTTGGAAGTGGGGAAACACTTGTTAAGCATTTAGTTTCTCTATTTTTATCTTCATTAGTGATCGAGTTAGGAAAATACTATATCAGAGTTTACAAAAGTAAATGAAAGGATTTTTTTAGAATCACAGTGTGTTTTATTTAAGTTGTAACACACACACACATATATACAAAACAAACTCACATAAACCTACTATTTTCAATAGAGGTCAGTATAATCAGTGCATTTAACATAAAGGAAAGAAGCTATGGTAAACTGTTACTGCTAATTTGTATTCTCACTAGAATTAACATACCTAGTTCTTTTTGTAATACATGTTATGTGTACTTTAGGGCTAATCTTATCACTTTTGAGGCCCTAAGCTTGCTAATATTTGTGGATACCCACAAACACAAAGAAAACTTAATATTTTAATTTTTTTTTAATTTAAATTCAATAAAAATTAGATTTCACCATATGTTACTTACACTTTCATTATAGAATGAAACTGAGACAAAAATTAAGAGTAAAAGTTATACAAGTCTAGAGAAAAGGCTATATTGCCCCTTATCATCATTACAAAATATAAGGAAAAATTAAAACTAGGGATGCATGGGTACCCGGCCAGGTATTGGGCTACCCGGTAATACTTGGCTCCAGCTGAGTGTCAAAGTTGGGCATCTAAGCCCTAATCTTTGTGGCAACTAACATGGTACTGAAAGTTACAGTCAATATTGGTTTAGTTAAAAAATAATATGTTCTGAGCAACAAAGACTGACTGCCTGCTGAAAGTCAGGGATTCAGAGAACAAGGATTAATAACAGGCATGGCTTGAGAAGTGGATTTCTGGGGAAGGTGGGGGTTAGGGTTTGAGAAGTTGGAGCTAGGCATTGAAAGTTGAAAGAAAAACTTGAATATTCTGTTGGTGATTATTTGGGTTAAATGTAATAAATGTCAGTTTTGTTTTTGTTTCTAGTTCTTGTGTATATTTTTTTTGGACGAGGGGAGAACTCGGTCCCAGTTGACACTCTGCCCTGGCCAAAGCTTAGTGACCGGGTACCCAGACCCAGTATTCAGCCAAATTTTACTACCCCATGCATCCCTATTTAAAACCATTATTTTATTTAAAAAAATAATCAGAAAACAGTGTATAGAAACTAAAATATTTTATTTTTGAATAAAACAGTCAAAATATGTAAAAAACAAAATGTTTTAACCAGATTTCCCTTTTTTTTCATTTTACTCCATTTATAAGAATTATATAGGTTACTTCAGTTAAATTATTTTAATTTTATTAATAACGAAAAAGAAAATACAGAGGCTCTTGATCTGAAAATAAGTACTTTTGAAATTTGTAGTAAATTCATTCATAAACAATAATTAATGTCATATTGAAAAATTCCTGTATAAATTTATAAATCACTTGATACAGTTTTTACAAATTTATTAAAACTGTTCATTATTTTTTAATTAAATAACCCAAACATTTATTATGGTTAAAGAAAACTTTCAAAATTTAGTATATTTAACAAAACTTCTTAATAATGCTTAGAATGTTTTATTTTAGGGAAATGAAAGCCAGGAACAAAATTACTAAAATTAAAATATTTGCATCAGGCTACTCTTGAAATTGCTGTTTTTTCATAGTTATAATTAGTAAATACAAGAAATTAAGTATTTACATTTAACTACAAAAAAAAACAACCACAACCAGTGATACAAGCACTGTGTGACCTGCAGCATTACATGATAAAGTTTACTGAATAAAGCAGGGTTTATGATTTTTAAAACTAAAAACACAGTGGCTTGCATCAGTTCAGGATTTAATCTAATCAGCTCACACGACACGCAAAAAAACTACTATAATAACCATTATTTTTAAGTAAAATTTGAAACCAAACTTGCTTTAACATATTAACTTTTGTTTTCAATTTTTCAGAAATTTTGTAATATTCTTTGTAATGAAAAAAAACCACTGTAATAATCCCAGCTGGGTATCTTTCTTGTAATACACAAAGTTGCTTAAACCAGGAACAAAGAAATTGGTATGTCAATGCTAAGGGAAATAGATCGACACAAATTTTGATTAATAAGTACAAAATGGCTTTATTTGAAAAACAAAAAGAATAAACACTTATAATATGAATATACTAGATGCTTTGAGAAAGAAGCAAGATTTTTTTCCTACATTAGGTAATGGATAATTTACAGCCGATGAATAATTGTGTTAATAGGATATTATATGCCCACTTCTAGTGAAATATATTACATGTTTCCATGAAAAACAATTATTTTGAGCCATGTGTTGTAATGACTGCAACAGAGAAATTCATGAATAGTTCTCCCCCACCCTACATATATATACATATATTCTTGACCTAGCATCCTACAAATTCAGACATTTTGTTTTTCTCAAGAATAGTTTTCATGGACAGTACTTCCAAAACAACCGAGTTTTTTTAAAGCAGCTATAAGAAACTGAATTAGTAACACTGCATTTGAATTTACTGAACTGGTGTGATGAAGCTCACAGAATGATGGAGGAAACATATTGTAACTAATAAGCACCATATCAAAACATGATGCATTGTTGACCACATCTTCAGAACTTTTAGTGTAGGTTTATTAGTTATAAACTGAAATGGATGATATGAAATGAAATCCACTTCCTTCTTAATATCCTCTTGTACAAAGACAGACATTCAGAAATGATTTTGGAATAAATAATTAAAAACAGTTTTAGTCACTGCCTTTGTTCTCAGCCACAATGTTTAACAAACCAAATAAAATAGTTATAAATCCACATTTATGAAAATAGGAAAAAGCTAATGTTCAAGTGGAAACTGGGTCCACAAATTTACTGATATAAAACTGACACATCTCATGATCATACATGTTACAGCAGTAAGTGAACATATATTGTCACAACAAGAAATACTATCAATAATAAATTCCCATCAAACTACTCACAGTAGCTTTACAAGAAAATGTTACTTTAATGCAATCAAAAAATAAACTAAATACAGAAGGAGAAATACAAAGAATAACAAAATAAATTGCTATACAGACAATCAATTCCTAGCAAAACCCAAGTAAATTTAAGCAGCATGATAGATAAAAGTTTATAACCAACAACTAAACTAGCTAGAAATGATTAAGATTCAATTATCATATGACCGTGATTCTAGTGAAAAATTATATAACAAAGGGGCATGCCCCCCCCCCCAAATTACATCTCAAAATTCAATTCTCTACCAATCAGCACTTAAAACCTCAATATAACATATTCAAAAATGTTCCTCATTATGTGATAATACCGTTATCCGAACTTTTCCAGTACTATTATCTTTGATTAGTTCTTTAAAAGAAATGCAGATCACATCTAGCCTTGCAGAGAAATGTAATATATTTTGTTTCACAAATGATACAACATATTAAACAGCAAATACAGTTATGCTCAAATGTTCTGATATTCTGTATTGTTTCTTTTTTATATAAACAAAGACACTTTTATTTAGGGATACTCCATAACCATGCATGACAAATTGTAAAAATTATTCCAAATTTGCACGAACTTCATCAAAGTAACCAAAACACTACTTCATGCTGGTATTAATTAGGCAGGGGATATATATATGCTGACTGAACACGAAAGAAAAATTCCTATGGATTTCCATAGTAATTATGACATTGTTAGTACTTCCGATTAAGAAATTAGCATAGGATCACATACAAAAGTTGTAATGGTTTTGAAATGAGACCCAAAAGTCTTCTTCAGAAGAATAGTGAACTATTCAAAAGCCCTCAAGTTTTGGGTTTTATTTGAAATCCATTGGTTAGTGCTTGTATTAATTAACCAAGGAATATATATGTGAGCTGACCTAACATGAAAGAAAAAAAAACCTTTAGGTTTCCTTAGTAACCACAACATGGTAAGAACCTGCGTCTATTGCAGAACATACTGAAAAAAATACCAAAAGAAAATCCCTATAGGTTTCCATAGTAACAAAGCACCAGGGATAATTAAGATGATCATCATAAATGCAAGTTTTTTCATCACTTCTTCTACAAACCAAATAGTGACATGATGATCCAAAAGGTGAGCTACAATAGATTTTGCATTAAACATCAAACAAAGTGATAAAATACATTAAATGTAAGACATCATACCACACAGAGCTATGTTACTTTTATTACAACATAATCTTACTAAACCAAAATAAGAACCTTTTAAGAATTAAATTTATAATTTATCAAGTCAAAACATTATTATTACATATATATTCATACATACCTGCTCATAAGTGAAATCAACATGATTTGATGGTGCATCAAAATGATATTAAAAATGATAAAATTTTTGAATATTTATTATTATCATAATCTCTTTTCTATTTTTTAAATCTGTAATTTTTGTGCATTCTGCTGGAATTATTTTCATGATGCCTTAATAATTATCACTATACCTTAAAGAGTTTCAAGTCTGTTTATAAAAGGTGGATAATAACATGGTTTGGATTAGTTTTCAGCCAAAGAAACATAAATGTTAATGGACTCCGTCACCATATGATGGGTAAATCGGGATTTTCAGCCAGATACTAGCAGCATTCGCTTGAGTTTCAGGAGTTAAAAACTCTATCAAGATCCCTGAAGTTGAACATAATTTAATAATATTTTTTTATTGAATTATTCACAGTTCTCAGTGTCATTAACACAAACATACAAATTTTTAGATGTTTGTTTCACAAATCATGATAATAAAGACTGCAAACTGTAGGGAAAACCAGCACAATATTGGCAACTAAGTATTTATGTTTATCTTAAGAAACAATACCTTCAAATATTTGTTTTATTGATGGATATACTTAACCATACCTAACAGTTGTAGCATATTAATATTATATTTCAATTTAATAGTTGTATTTAATAAGGAATTATTTATTATTATGTAATTATAACAGTTATTTAAAAATGGTACTGCCATTACTACTGAAATAAAAATTATCATTATTTAAATCTATATGTATAATAGGCTGAAAAAACCCAGTGATCAGCATACTGGACTATGGATCTTAGGTCCATCATTCGTATCATGTTTCTTAAAAAAAAATATTATGCTCCACACTGTTTGTCAAACAAAAATAGCTCAAGAGTTGGCTATGGGTGCTGTTTACTAATTGCCTTTCCTTTATTTTATCCAGAGCTACATTCAGGTGTCATATGCCTCAGGATAAGGAATCAAAATACATTCCCCATACCAGAGTGGAGTTAGTTCTCACATTACAGCCTTTGACTGTCCTCTTGTGCTACTGAAAAAGTTACTTATTTTGAAGATAAATAGTCCAGCTTTAAGAATGCCCCTATTTATGTTGCACTACCAAACCATCCAGGTTATTTTACCCTCAAAGCGAAAGATAATATGCAGTCAAGGAATAGAGACTGAATAAGGCACTGCAGCCAACTTTAACTACATTCAGCACATAAAAATTGACTTATATTGAAGCAGACACATTTTTTCAGTAGTTAAAAATTCAGGGACTGATAATTTGAAAGAAATACAAGTGAAACATATTTAAGACTCATTGTACCTACTTTTGATGAATAGAAAATACTTATTTCGTATGTCAAATGGCTATTGACACCAAGCTAACACTTACCAACATTTATACTGTTATAACAATGCTGAATGTGTTTGACTGACTTTAACACCTAATTCACTTCAATGGTTTATCATGAATAACTAGTGTACAATACAGTCATGAAATTATTAGACAAAACTCTTTCACCATAACTTCAACAAAAACTCTCACTGAACAGTCATTCAAGTTCCTTTGTTATCATTACTTCATCTTTAAGAGATTTAAAACTTGAAATTTGATGATGGTCAGTCAGAATTTTTTTCAGCAGACATCTTTCACTGACTTGCTTCTCTTTTTTTTTTAAAAATTTTGCAGCACTACTAAGTTTCTCCTTTTGTTTCTGTCTCTCTGATGCACATGTTCTCTTCCTTGTCATTTTCTTGGAGACACACGAACAGTAGGAGACACCACTGTTTAGTTTGCGCAGTCTTGAGACAAACAAACTGGATTTCAAACTCTGATACTGCAATTTAAAAAACAAAATTATTTATATATTTTAACCTAGACTGTGAAACCCCTCAGGAACTCAGAGCCTCGAACAAATGTTCTGGTTGCTCTCACTTAAATTTAGCACTAAGTCTACTAATTCAAAAGTAGAGACAGCTGACAACATTAAGTGGGAAAACATCTTAAAACAAAGTAATAACACTAAAGTTTCAAATAGAATTTCTCTTGTTATTACCTACCACTTTAAACTTGGAAACATTTCAAGCATTCTGAAAAATATTTTCATCTACTACAACTGAATGTTTGCCTTAAACAGATATTTCCTGAAGTTTAAATGATACCCTTGTTCATGCAAAAGTGAATTACACCCCACCAAAGAATGTTTGTCATCAATGTAATAAAGCTTGTTGTCAAACCTGCAAATTCATAAAAACCTCTGACTTTTCCTGACAAACACAACCAGAGAAACTTTAATATTTCTAAAGAAATTACTTGCACACACAATACCATTTACCTTATACAGTGTAAAAAAGCAATCACCAGTATGTAGGACATACCCAAACAACTCTTACAAAACATTTCAACAACCATAAGTCTTCTATTAATAACAAAAATATCTCCCTGTTGATCAACACTTCAACCAACCCAGTCATTCTGTTAACAATGTTACTCTAATCGGCATTGAAACCAACTTTAAAACTAAATCTGACAGAGATAAAAGAAGCTTATTGGGTTGCTAATCTAAATACTGTTCAACCTAGTGGAATAAATCTAGAACTGGAATCAGTGATCTCTGATCACTGGTGTGTTCCCTGTCAACAACGTAGTATTTATTTATTTAATGTTTTCCACGTAGTGTGAACTCTCAATGTTTACTCCTAATCTTTCTAATACATATTATTTATTTATGATAATTTTTCATTCCTGTCTTTATAAATTGATCTGTTTACCATTTCTAGTTCAGTCAATCTCCATGTGTCACCTTTATTTTACTTTAACAACACTTAAGTACAGTTTTTCTTGACCATTTGTAAAGCAAAAAATTTCGAACAACTTTTTACATAATACTCGTCTCCAGTTATGTTGCACTAAAAATGAGATACACTTAACAACGGTACATTAAAAATATACAAAACATAACTCCCTTTATATATATCACTCATTTGATTACACTACCATTCCCAATTTACCCCTGAAGAAGAAAGGTCCACGTTTTGAAAGCGCTCGGGTTATAGGGTTTTTATATTAAGAATTCTTGAACCTTCGTGTTTTTCTGACATCATAAATTTAAATCATTTGAAAAGATGGTGTATTCAATAACTTTTCATTATTTATCAACCACTATTGATGGTTTTATTTTTTAATTCCAGTGTGCTTGTGATTATTAGTGTATACTTTCAGAAACTTTATTAAAGTATATTGCTACATAGCTATATTAAGTATCATACGCTTAACTCAAAGCATTTCCAAATAAAGCAGCCACCTTTTAATGATATTATTTACACTTTAATACAACTGGTCAAAGCATTCTATCTATTTACAGTTTTTCTTGTTTATCAGTTTTATATGTATATTGTACTGTAAATATATAAATTTCTTCTGATAGTACCAATACTTCAAGTTCAGAGATTCAAATAAATAAATGTTAATACAATTTATTATAGTGTTTTCAGCCACATAAAATATAAGTTTGTGTATCTATATGTATTTCATGTTCATAAACCTCATGATAAGGAATTGGGCATTTTTAATGCAATTATACTGTTTCCTAGCTATGGTACATGAGGAACCAATACAAAAGATATGTATTTTGTTAAAACATACAATACTGCTAATCTGAGATAAAAAACTGTAATAAATGATATACAATTCATATAGCTTTCATGAATAAAGTTATTTTTAACAAGTTAACCATGACACACATAAAAAGTTACATATACATGTATATATACTTTATACTAATAGTGCATCTTCAATGTATGCATGTTGTTAAATGGTCAAGATTTAAATGTTCTATAAATTTGAAAGAAATTATAATAGGACAGTGGTTTACTTAAATACTTTCTATCATTTTCTATACTTAAATGGTACAATGAGGAATCCTTTGGTATTATTAAAACCATTTTTTAAGTTTCTTCTATGTTTGTGGAATGCCAGATTTGTCAAATTATTCAGAATGTACAGGATCTCTAAAATTATCTTTTGGCCATACATTCTATCAGATGATAATTACAGTATGCCATAAAAAACCTCAATATCAAGTGCTGAATAATCTAAGTTAATTAACCCAAACTAGAAACATCTTTGCAAGACAACATCTTACATCTCTTACAAATGATCCTAAGCAACATTTTTCCTATACACTTTTCACCATTTATATATTTTTAAAAGATGTTTTAGTTGGTGCATAAAGATTCATTTTGGATAGTGTAACCAACTTCATACATCTGTTGTGGTTTAAAAATGAATTTTATACTGCTAGCAAAGAACTTCACCAGGTCAATGTTGGGAGGTCAAATAACACAGGCCTGTGAATTTAAACTTCATAAAAGTTGTTCTGGTTTTAATAACAGATTTTCCATAATTCACTTACTCAGATTTCAAAAATAATATTCATTTGTTTCTATCCCGCAAGGATGTTTTACAAATTGGGAAGAAAAAAACCTACTTAGATCAAGTAATGTTTTGTTTCTTCACAAGTTCACCACAAATACAACAGAATATGTTTGGGTTATTTACACAACATCTTGTTGTCATTGCAACAACTAAATAATATTGAAAAGAAAAATATTATGTCAAAGTGCACGCACAAACAAATACTAACCACAAATGACACATCATGAAGCCTCTTAACCATTTGTATACTAGTGGTGTGTTTCTCGTGGGTTCTAGAATGATCAATATGACTCTCGTGTCGCAATTGGTCTAGAGAAATCTATAGCCAGTGGTTGTCAACATTTTAAGCATAACAAAATGTAACCCAATTTCAATCAAAATGATTCACTTATATAAAAATACATATGACATTTTGTGAAAAATCTGTACATGATGGAGAAAAATGGATATCATTTGCAGATTCAGCTTACAGGAATTACTGTAGAACATGTAAAAATTTCAAGACAGTAAAACCATCGCAGGCCTGTGTAACAGATTGTTGAATTATGTTATGCAGAATTGCAAGATGAAGTGAAAGTAGTTTGGAAGTGTTAAAAATGGTTAGAAAAAAAGAACTCTAAGTTCTAAGATTGTTTGTTAATAGGGTTAGTGAAATAGGGATATCCATGGTTTACCAATTTCAGTTCCTTGGTATCTATTTGAATTTTGAAGAGGTCATATAAAACTCATATAAATTAAAAACATAACCACAAAACTATCACAGATGAATGAAAAGCTGATAAGACAGGAGTCTCATCTATACATTATCGGCATTAGATGTTTTCTTGAAAATCACTTCATTCTTTCATGAAAAAATGCTTGTCAAAACATTGTACATTTGCAATAGATTTTCCTTCAAACCAAACTTTATTATCTAGAGTAACACTTAGCAATTATTCTTGTTGTCTTTTATACATGCATGTTTATGTACATTTATATATTTACAAAAGAACTAAAGAAACAACAGAATAAGACAATAAAACAAACAATATTTTATTACAGACTCAAACACATATCTTAAAACAATGTGTTTTAGTTTTGCATTAACAAACAATGTTCCAATACCTTGTTTCAAAAAATATAAAGTGCTGGAACAATACATATCTAAAACGTAGAGAAATAACGTCTGAAGATTAAAACTAAACAACTTCAAAAAAAATACAGCCAAATTTCAAATACGAGTATCACATGTATATATTGAAAGACATATACATAAAAGACTTAATACTGTGGCAAAAAAATTTCTTTTTTTTTTAAATAAACTAAGAGATATTATAACAAACCAATAAAAAATTAAATGTGCAAGTATTGCACCACTCAGTGGATCTGCACAAGATAAAAATAAGAACTTGGTGGATGTCACTCATTTTGTAGTTTTTTATTCTAACAAGCTGTAACTGTTCACCTGATGAATGCAAGTGGTCTGCAGAAGCAAAAATAAATTAGGCTCAGAATTTTATTTATAGTTTATTATAGCTGTAAATCCAACACACAGTGTAAATGTTACAATTTGAATTACTGTCATATTCCTGGATACTTATGAACTGTACACTACATTGCACATGCGCAGTTAGCAACGTGTGGTATACTGAATTGCTAGAGGCAAGGATACATTTTAAACAGAAAAAGTGTGATATATTTTACTTTTTAAAGTATTGATACGAAAATCAGTTTATTTATCTTCCTGCCAATGACACATTCTTCTCATTTGAAATGACTAAAAACATCTTTCTAAAAAAGATATTTTGAAAACAAAAATTATTACAAAAATTATGAGAAACACTATACAGTCTCGGAATGGGACAAAAATAAAGTGGTTTATAAATACAGAGACTTCTCATGGAACTATGTTGTTTAATTGACATCAGAATTATTGCATTTGATGTAATATCTCTTGTTATTCAAAAGACACATTTATTTTTGTATTTAACACCTGATCATTAAACCAAACACGTAAAAGTGGATGGTCAACACTTGCTATTTACTAGTCAACAGATAACGTTACTCAACACAAGTCTATATGCAGATGAAAACGTCAGACTTGACATCTTGGTGTTAAGTAAGATGTGACCATTTGGCTATGAATAATGAATACAGTAAGAAAATACTTGTTCTTGTCTATCGAAACGTTTCACAATCATCTAAAAATTTAAGCCATACCTGATATTTCTGTTAGTAAAATTTATAAAAACATGAAAAAACTTCAACTAGTAAAGGCCATGTAGTGGTTAGTAATATACAGAAACAGCATCAAAAACATGAGCTGGTCAAGTCGTGTAGTTGTTAGTAATATACAGAAACAGCATGAAAAATTTTTGATACTGAATAAATATCATGCATAACACAAAAACAAGGTATCACATGAGCTTGTAACAAAATATTTATTGTTTGTTTACAATGAATATTTTAAATTTCTCCAACACAGAAATAGTTTTCACGCAGGAACAACTAAAACAAACAGTTGATCCAATCTTACTTAATAAAGATAAAAATCATTGAATAGCTGTTAAAAAGTTTGGATAATTTTTCAATTTTAAGGATAAACATAAAAATTAAGCAGATGATACAATTGGTATTCTTTTGTATTTGTAATAAAATATATAGTAGTATTGCTAAGTGCTGTCTAATTTTGAAAACTACAAAAAATTATCTTCCAAATAGAAAAGCAAATATCGTGCCAGAAAAACTGTTGTCATCTAAGCAGTAAGTCCAACTACACAGTTCAAGAGTCTTACTTTTCTTTTCTTTTTTGAGTAGTAGCAGAAAGTGGGCCTGGCATGGCTTGGTGGATAGGGCACTCAACTAACAATGTGAGGGTCATAAGTTTGAATCCCTGTCACTGAGCTAAACAACTTATGAAATTTGCCAAAACATTCTACACATGAGAAATGCCAACATACATAAGATTCTAACATATTATAACACATTATTTGTTCCTGTCTAGATATCTGATATCATTTATTAAACCAACCATTATTTTGTCTTTCCTATGTTGGCTATGAGGAAGTCAAAAAATTTCCAGTTTGTGTTTTCTATTAAACCTAAATTAAACACAAGTTACAAATTCTAAATACTTTTTTAATCACATATTACAGACACACAAGCTACCTATAAACTTTGAAGTATATGTATCAGCAAGTTTTTTTGCCTTTATACCACTCAAAATGTAATAATTGTGCACTACTATGGTGTTAATTGTTACAATGCTATACAAAAAAAATCAAATACCCAAAAAATTATGTTTAAGTAAAAAAAACAACTCTGAGGTCAGCAAAATCACTTTGATCACATCTTATCTGAAAACATACAATTTAAATTAATTGTTTGCTTTTAAACTTCACACACTGGTGCAAAAGCAACCCATCTACAAATTTTTTAGATCTAGATTGTTGTGGATAACAAGTTTTACTTACCATTGCCACAAATGATTTAAAATATTACTTTACAGAGACTGTTTACAAAAACTGCTACATAAACAGAGCACCAGATCTAAGTGAAGACAAACAAGTGTGTGAATGAAAGAGAAAAATTATTTTCTAATCATATCTATTCTTATTAAAAGCTTGTTTAAACTTTTCTGAAATCTAAGAAAGTTTACAGCAATTTATGCTTGATCTGATATTTCATATGATTAAAACTTGAAGTTGTTTTAATTTTCCATTTCAGTAATCTGAATGTTTTTACAATAACGTTTTAAAAACTGATTAATTTAATTAGTATTATGTCACTAGAACTACTTTAATCAAGAAAACAATGTTTCAGCACAAAACAAATTAAAAATACATAATCTATGACTTTTCCTACAAATAGATAGTAGTTCATGTATAAGTATATAATGAGGTATAAGATGTACTTAAAAAGGAATATTTTTATTCTGTAATATCATTAGGCACTATTCTGAGATAATTAGTAAATTATACACTTTCCTTTTAAACATTACTTGTATATTGCTGTAGCTTTTACTAGCTTACCTTAGTACTAGTATAAAAAATGAATATATATATATGTGTGTGTGTGTGTGTGTGTGTATGTATGTGTGTTTGTATATGTGAGCATTCTTAATTAAATATTTTATCTCAGTTCATGAAATAAATGTTAACCATTTCATCACAGAAGTTTGTCCCAGTTAAAATCATCTTCTTCATCTTCTTCACAGGAGGTAATCTTTTGAGGTGAGGTCAAGGTGGAGATACCAGCAGAATGGGAGGCAGCTGGAGAACTCAACTGAAAAGTAAGAAACAATGTTAACTACTTATAACTGTATTTAATAACTGAATTTAATCAGAAATGTACTTCCTATATACATAAAAAAAACGTTTAAGCAGTGGGCAACCTGTGTCTTAACAAATGTTTACAAACCACCTCACTAAAAGTAGTTCTGAAAGAATATTTTACCTATGTTTATGGCAAAACCTAGGAAATCATTTTAAGGCTCATAATTAACTGTACACTTTACTTCTTAACTAATAACATCTAAGTTTCATGTAACTATTTTTATTCTGATTAAATATGCAACTAAATTGCATCTCATCAAAACAATGCATTAAACAATATCAAGCTGAATGGAAAACATAAAACTCATTGCTAATATAAGCAAAGAAATTGGCTTTAATAAATTCAAAGAATGAGCTATAAATTTTATTTGTGTAAATAATTAAACTAATCAAAATAATTGTGTAAAATGACAGATCAATCAATGGAAGAGGATGGACAATTAGCACACAAAACTAAATATGATCGAGTTAGCTTGCAGGTTGAAACATTATCTGAAAATGAAACTAAACGACTCAAGAAGTCCATACAAATCAAATACATTCCCCAAAACACAAACTTATATTGATTAGTCAAACAGACAGTAAATCAAAAATAAGTATTAATTCAGAAGAAAATTTCAAAGTTAATAACAAATAATCATATGTGCAAATGAAATTATTGTAGGAAAATAACCACTAATCAAAAAACATGACAATTTTCTAATGTCAGTATTTAATTTTTTTTTCATTAACAATGTTTTTATCTACAAATAACTATATGTACAAAATTTCATTCTGTTGTCACTCAAGGCAATCAACAAATGTTATTTGTCTATGATATGCACTGAATACCTCTGAAAGAGAAATACAAGAAAAGTTGCTGTTCTCTGAGGAAAGTGTTCCCTCTGTACTGAGATTGTCCTTAGGCACAAACTGTGTTACAGGAACTTGATTAAGTTCACCAAGAAGGCCTGAACAACAACAAAAAAAAAAGAAATATGAGCCAGACTAAAAACATAAACTTGATTTATAACATAACATAAAAATCATTAATTTAATTCATAAAAAAACTACTATTTAACTAACACTAAATGAGAGTGTCTATCATTTACAGTACACATCCAACAAACTTTATGTTATGCTAAGTTATACTACATAATTTCCATGACCAGTGACACCTTCAGCAACCAGGTGGCTTCTTTAAATGTTTGTTGTCAGAACGTTTTATCCACATACAGGAAAACATAGGGGGCAGGCGACAATTTTTATTTGTTTACCAAGAAGTTGTTCAGCAACAGGTTTATAGCAAATTATTGAGGTCAGCATGGTCACACTTAGGTGTGAAAGGGGTGGTGGGTTGCAATGACAGTGCTTACAATCTAGTGATAACTGCTAATTTGGGATTTTATTCACTCAAGACTAATGAGAATTTGTTTCTTGGGATCAGTCCAACTAAAAAATTTCCTGGTGATCCTTTATGGCTAGTCTGCTTGTAGTGGAGCCTTTGTATTTAACATATGACTTGCCAGGTTTCATTCACTCGTTGGCTTTGAACATAAAAATTTCAAACACTATGAAACAAGGGTTATTTTTTATGATTTATACAAAGTTTCAAATGATTTTGGCAAATACATTTTTTATTTTCACAATTATTTAACACTGTTATAAGATCTTCACGAACTACTTGTTAAAGCTACTAAAATCAGTAAAGCATTCTGTCTCACAGATGGGTTGAAGTTTGCTCTTAGTTTTGCTATTCTTGACAGGAAACAACACTTTTCAACAGAAGTGTTAAATAATTTGATTTATTTTGTTACTAACTACTTTGTGTTTTAGCTTTCTTTCTTCTATACTAATTAAGCAACACACCTACATACTGCAGCAAGAGGAATTAAAGTTTAAAGCTACTTGATCAAACAACAAACAGAAGTAGTTATATAACTAAACAAAAAAGATTCTATGAAGAGTACAACAATAATAAACAACATTCAATCTCTAGTATTAATATATAGTAGTTAATCCACAGAGATGGTCTTTTGAAAAAATACACATGTATTTTTAATGTTTTTTTATCTTTCATCTACAAAAGTTATTGCATTATCAGCTATATGGATATTCAATATGAGATTGTATACATTCAGGTACGGTATTTTATTATGACAAATTTAAATATGCTCCTTCTGCAGTCAGAAGTACAAGAGGAAAATTATATTTTTTCTCTCTAAAAACCAAATGTGCCACTGGTAAAAATTTAACCATTGCTGTTAACTTCACTACAGTATTTTAATGAATGTGTTAAATTATATTTACCAGATGTTCCAGTGACTAAAATACCTGCTGGTACTCCAGGAACACAACTAAAAGATGGGTGGAAAGACCCGAGGCCAGCCTGTTCATAAAGTGTGTTAAGGGAAGTGACCAGTTCAGCAAACTGGTCTTGCGTTAAACCCCACAATACAGGTTCTATCATTTTCATACTTTCCAGAACACCTATAGAGGTGCAAAAAACATATAATAATCAGAAATAACATAATCAAAGTTTTTAATATACATTTCTTACTGCATAAATTGTTTCAATGCATATAATGAGAAGTAAAAAAAAAAAAGGATATTTCATAACTTTACTCGGCAAAAACTTTAAAGCAAGCATACAAGTTTTCTTTTAATCATAAATTTATTCATATAATTCCAAATTTATATTTTCTTGTGAAGTTCTAGTTCTTAAACTTTTAGGCACAGCTTGTTTACTCTAAATCCAAAACATAAATTTCAATTAACAAGTACAAACAAGGCTTACTGTTCTAACAACTGTATCAGTTATAATTGGGACTGTCTAGATTCATAGAAAAATATATGTACTCTTTGAAGGAGTAAATTATGTATTTAATGCTTTAGGTGCCAAGAGTATGCACACAAGTACATACATGGAAGGGGACACATACACCCACACACGTAGTGATAACTGCCGTAGCTTGGTATAGCACCATAATCACACAATTTATATCAATTTTATCTTGTCTTCTTATAATGATCCATTGAGACACCTACAATGTCATTTCTTTTATCTACCAAGATGGAGGCACTATCCATTGTCAATATTCCCTGCCTGAAATGTTACAGATGTAGATGTGGATGATCCCCAAAACATTTGATCGTGTCACATTACTTACATCACACTGTAGTTTCATCTCCCTCCAGTTGCCATTCTACAATCTTCACAGAAACTCTGTGAATGCGAGTTGTATATTTTCCCCTTTTTTACAGGTCTCACATCCATCTTATTCAATATAAATATATGTTATGTAAACAATGGAATCCACCAAATGGCTGGTGTTACCTTACAGGGAATACATCACTCTCCTGAAATCTATTTTGAATGAAGGATAAGAAAAATCTAAAAGTGTTAAGCTTATATGCTCCTGCTCAATGCCTGCTGTTTGGCATATATATCAATTTTATCTTGAGGGTTGTATTTCAGGAAAAAAAAATGGACTGCACCAGGTGTGAGCCTGCCCTCACACCTGGCTAGTGCCTGCTGTCTCTATTCATGGTAATCCATTGTGCAGTCTATTAGTGTGAGACTTTATGCAGATGTGATGACTCCTGTATGGTGCAAGCACCTCTCTGGTGTTCTTCCCCATGTGAATTCCTTCTCTTTCTTCAAGTGGAGTAACAGGAGAATCTTTAGTAAGAGATCATGTAGATGTACACCTCAACAGGAAGTAGGGCTGGGTGTTTCCTGCAAGTGTGTACTAAGATGAACTCCAATCCAGTGATTAGGCAGTGTTCTCCTTGGGATGAAGGTCTGGGATATTTTCTCCTTGCACCTAATTATTCTATTGATAATGTTCTATACATACATCTCCAATACAGTACAGCCTAATTTATTGCCATAGCCACAATACACACTAACGCTCAGCCAACCTCCTGAGGGGTAATGGCCAGTTGAACAATCTTACATTCCACCCACCTATGCAAGACCTTAGAACCACACAAAAGTTTGTTTTGACAATATATTTTACTCTATCACCATTAATGGGCAAACAGTATTCTCTGCAGGAAAAAGACATAGTCTCTCACTGAATGATGCCCCACCAGGTTACCCCCTCTTTCAATTTCAAACGGATGACATGATTTATGATTTTATCCATTCTGACACTATGATTTCAGAAAGAAATTCATCTTTGTAAATTTTCTTCTACATGGCCCCTCCAACATCTTATCAATGTCAGATTTTTTGTCTCTGTTGTGCAGACAGGTGAGTATATGTTCTGAAATTAACATTTTCCTTACCTGAAAATTCATTTCAGAGAGATACTCACCTTTCTATATAACCTCCCACCCTTTCTCCTCACTTTTGGTGTATTTCTTTTGCCTCATTAAAAATGAGCCTTTGGTTCAATGCTAGTGCTCATGGAGGATGTGTCACCCTCCTACTGGTGGAGGGATATAGTCTAGTGATGATTACATCATAGGATGGCTCAGTACAGGTTAATAAGGTGGGAGCTTCATTCAAGGCTTGTGGCATGCACAAAAATCTTCATGGCAGTGCATAAAATAACAGCTCTTTGTTGTGCAGAAAGTTGAGTATCTATCTGAAATATATTTTGAGGTAAAAAAAAAAATTAACTTTTGACACTAATTATGGGTTGCACAATGTTCGTAGTAGGGTTTATTACCTTGCTTGAACAAAGTATTGATCTAGTTCCAAAAGAACTTTCTTGGTATCCACTGGCATTTAAATGTGAAAACACTTTATAAATATGTGATATACCCAAATTCTTCTCAACTGGCACAACAAAATCATAATCAAATTGTTCACTTACCCATCATACATGAAAGACTATAATCATTCCAAAAAAAATTTCAATCAATATCATTAAGATTTCAGAGCATTTTTGAAAATGATATGTAGTTTGCCTATCCCATGCCTAAACAGTACATAATGTTTTAGCAGATTTCGAAGTTTGCATGTGGTTACATTAAATGCTGTGAAGTCATTGTGCATTTGTTGCACACTGTATGTGTTTATTCTTAGTTAGTTCCCATGAACTCATTGGGTGGGACATATCACAAGTTCAATTTGGTATCTGGACATTTCTGACACAGTCGAAATATCTTACTTTTTAACTAGCTTCAAAGTTTAATTCGTTTGATTACAGTTTTAGTGAACTGAACAAATAACTGATAAAATTGGAATCTCAGTTCAATTCATACTTCAGCACTAACACTGATTTCACACTAGCTTCTTAATTAGTTTATAAAGAAACCATACCCACAGTACACATTCTTTAACAAAACTTAAGTCATTGTAAATCAGTTGTAAACATGGTAGAAGAAGTGTCAAGTTTGAAGGCTTAAAAGTAAATTACATGTATCACTAAAATTAATCTGTCAAAACTAGTTTTCATATTATATCAGCATAGGATAAATATAATATTAACAAAAGTTCACTTTATTTTATTTAAGATAAGCTAAGTCTTCAAATATTAGTCCTAACTCATAAGTTTAATAATGGTAGAAAATAACACTTTGAAGGGCCTTTTAATCCAACAATTTTCTAGTTCACTCCTAATGAAGAAAAGTCTATCTTCTGAAAATATTCTAGTTACTGTCTTCTTTTTCAATTTATTTACTTTTATTATCCTGCACATTATTCTATTAATATTAATAGCAATCAGACATTTTCTTATGTTGCTCAGTATCTAGCGAACTTTTTAAATTGCATGTCAACAAATCATTAAAATAAATTTTCACATGTGAATATTTTTCTCTTCTATCTGTGTTTCAAAGGTAGCAGTGTTTCTTTGATTTACCCAAAATGACAAATAAAATAAGCCATTTGAAAGTGAACTGATTTGTTGTCACAGTTTAAAAACTGTTATATTTCACCCTTCCAGTTACTTCAGGTGAACTGTTCAACATATTCATGCTTTTGTTTTGTATTTAGTAAGTTTACATCTTTGTAAACAGGATGTGGAAGGTTGTAAACTTGCATTTATCCTCTATCCTAGGCAAAGGTTACATATTCGCAGTTACTTAGTAAAGGCACATACTTGCTTGACCCTGGTACTGCATCTTCCTTTGGGATGTGGGTTATACCCAAGTTACTAAGAGCTCAAGGTTTATCTTCCTTGAACTGTAACAGAAACAAATCCCTGATGCAAGTAATCTAGGATCTTTCACTCTGACTTGCAAGTGCAATATATTATTCTTGCTCCAGTCTTTGGCTGTGGCTCCAACAGTCAAAGTAGCTGTTTAAGTGCATTTAGAAGCTGGGTACCTTTGAAAGACACTAGGACAGCATTTTCCCTTATCCGAGTAATCTCAATAAATATTTTTTATTTGTATTGTAAACTTCTGTACATGTTTAACTTATTTTTCTGCAAACATATCCTGTGATGCAATTGGGTTATTTTCGAGGGAATCTACAATTGCTTCAACGTTTTTAGGACTTTTTATTAATTTAGAAAGTTTAAGAATAAAGTTAAATTAGTAGTTGTATTTTTTGTAAACAACTAAGAAACGTGGATGAACTAGAAAAACAAGGTTAAGCTACGTAAGAAGTGTTGCCTAGGAACAAGATGAGTGTACTAGAGCTTGTGACAGGTTGATGAATGGTTGACCTCAACCCTTTAGAACTAGGGAAGCTACAGAAAAGTTTGGTTTAGCGAGCGATATAGGCGCTTTGAGGCGATATCACTTAAAGCACATGGGTGTAGCAGTACAAATAAATAGGTGACCGGCTAACACAACCTAACTGTAACCAATTACTTGAGAGTTCTGATTATGGTTTTGGAATAGCCCGGGGATTCCCCTAAAGTGTCCAATAGGATCACAGGACTACTTGCGGGTGATGCTGTGTCCTATTTAGATGATCGAGACAATACACAGAAAATTTGCTTTATAAACCCATGTCAGGGGCTGAAAAATCAGTTCCTCCGGGAGTCAGAAAAAGCTACTCTGAAGTGTTGAAGATTCTCTTGGGCAACATGAAGGTTTCTAACATTATTCAATTTCCGAATACAACACCATTGTAAGTAAACTTTACTATTCTCTTTCAGTCAGTTAATATCAATGTTTTATAAAATGTTATGTTGAAATATATTTATGTGTATTAATGAAAGTGTATACTGAAGATATTATGTTGAAATATATCTATGTGTATTAATGGAAGTGTATACTGAAGATATTACAAGTATTTTAATTGAGTTAAAAGCCATTTTATGTTTGTTTCTCATAAATGAAGTTTTGTCTTTATCAACTGTTAGTTAGATGAATTAATGATTAATAAAAGTTATTGTAAGTGTTCACCATTGGCCCAAGACTAATTCTCTAGTCTAACTGTAAACTACCTCTAGTTACCGACTTGTGGCTCCACTCGTCATGACAAATCCTCCAATAAATAAATTTGGTGTAATAAGTAGTTTTAATTGAAACTCCCACAATTAAGCCCACCAGGGCGCTACTCATTACACCTGAATCAGAAGTGTATTGGACATAATTATAACCAATTGGTAGGACATTATGTACAAAAATACCACATAAAGAGCATCATGTTAGCCCTTAAGGGTGCATTAAATACTAGTCATGCAAGATTTTTCTGGTTTAAAACTAGTACGAGCTTCTGGTGAAATTTCTTTATAACAAAATTTCAAGAAGTTTTTTTAATATTAAGCTACGTTTCAGAATATTAAGTATCTTTTTCTACTACAATTCATAAGAAATGAGATTAAACAAAATCCATTGAGCTTTAACCCGGTTGTAGATAATACAGAATTAAACGTAAGAGAGAGAACTATTAACAAATCCTGAAAGAGAGGATGTGACAGGTGAGTGTGGCAAGAGGGGTCTGATTTTCTATTTAATAGCTCTGAAACCAAACAAATTTGAAGGCTATAAAAAAAATTGTTTTGTCTGAGAAATGATGATTTTATAGGGAGTAATTTACATTTAATTTCATACTTATTGGAGGGGTGGTGGATAAAATAGAGAAGATGCATAGAGAAAATATGTCATTAGGGGAAATTCTGGATTTTTTAGATATTGCCTTATAAAATTAAGAACTTAAAACTTGTATACTATTAAGCTATACATTATTAGCTAAGATTTTATGATATACTAATTGGTATAACATAAACAAAAAGTAGATTAATAGCATTTTGAATGTAAGTCATAAAAACATTGTGACATGCACAGTAAAGGATGCCCATCAGGATAAATCTATCAAATGACCTGTTTTATAACATTGTTTTCTGAATGGAGAATTGTCAATTTCACTGTTAGTACAAACTTCATTTCCAGGAAAGATAATGACTAGCTTGGATGAATTTGTAACAGCTATTGTCGCATAGTTGGAAAACTAGAAAAATTGTGAGAGTTAGGGGCAATTATCTACTTCTTGCATGTTATTAGTCTATGTTCTTTGGTGCATTATTTAATTAAATAAAAATTATTTAAAGCATTACTTCCATTAGTATAAAAGAGTAGGGTTACGTGTCATCAACAATCGACAGCAAGAAAAAAGAAAATTTGGGTAAGTAATTTATTTCTTGTTTTTCATGTTTATTCTTTAGTTATTATTATAAAAGTAACTAAAATGTAAGAATAGGCATCTCTTTTAGGTTAGATTAGGTAAAATAAATAATAATAATATAATAAAAATATTTCATGAGACATACGTGCGAACAGCTCATGAGTAACGTAATTCGATGGTGTAACGTGACCTTCATGTTCCCCAAGTGATTTATAACTTATAATGACATGAATAGTAGTTAGACATGGTCCAAAGATCAATAAAACAATCAAATTTAATCATAAATAGATGTATACTGTTATGAGTTTAAAACTACTTAGGATAAATGAATGTTTCATGTTACAATTTGAAGTCATTCTAAGAAGAAAAAAAAAAAGAGGAAATTTCGATTTATTTCATTTTTTTTAGTGGTTACAAGGTTGGTCAAATTGACCAACATTGTATAGAGTTATGGTAGAGAAAATAACAGATAAAATATAAAAGTTTAGTGAAAACAAACATCTGAAATGTATTTAGGAGGTTTTAGAGAATACCCAAATCAAATCTCAGATTTTGGAGATGAAGAAAAGTATTTTTGATCTTAACATGAAAATCACATTGCACATGGACTATTCAAAACAAATAATCGATACATATTCATGGACAAATCTTTTAGGTTATTTAAAATACTTCACAAAAAAATATGATTTCTTTTTATGTGAAAGACTTATAATAATGTTTACTGAAAGACTGCCAAATTTTATGAAGATATACATCCTATATTAAAAGTTAGTAGTATCAAATCTATAAAGACTTTATACATAAGAGTACAAAGAGGTCATGTGTGTGTGGTCAAATTGACCAAGCCCATTTTGAGAGAGTTAACATACAGCAAAGAAAATTACCATCGTTTTATTCAAGTGATTTGTAGACATACAACTAAAGAAACAGTTATTTTATATTTTTCAAATTTTAATGCATGTAAACATGGACTTTTCTTACCCTGAGACTGAGTAATATTTATATTTTGAAATTTTCCATTTTCAACAGTTTTAGCTCCTCCTTTCAACTCTTCTGTGTTCTGGTTATTTGTATTGAGCAGATTTTTACTAAATCCTGGAATGAAGAAGCACACTTCATACTAAAAGTTAACAGAAATCACGAAATAATTTAACTGTAAAACAAATAATTTACCATGAAAAGATAAAATACACAGAACATTTCTCAAAAGAATCAAACAAATTAATTTAGGATTTTTCTTCCTTTCAATAATCCACATTGTTTTTATGATAAAATATATAACACTTCAGGTAATGCATGAAGAGTTTTCTTTTAACCTACTTAGAGAAATATTTCTTTTATAAAATTTTTAAACTGATCACAAATATTGCACATAAATTATTAATAGTTATATTTATACAAGAACTATTCTATAAATGCACATATTTTTACTAACAATTATGTTTTATTATTACAGAGCATTTTTCTCCTACATAGCTGATAATTTACATGAAAGTGGTAACCTTCAAACAGGTCATTACAAATTCAGTTAAATATTTTTCATATACAATTTAAAATAAGCTCTCTAAAAGGACTGAAATCTAATTTTAATTATTTATTCTGCAGTATTAGTTAAAGTTTATTTAATAGCAGTATACTATACAGTCAGAATTGAAATCTTAGAAAGTCCACCACTGCAATAGGAACAGCATTAGTAACAGTCACTGTAATGATTTAACTATGTTCCAACATGATTAGTGAAATCTTCATGAACATCTGTACTATGACAAGATAAAAAACTTGGGTAATAATCTTTGTTACTTGTAATATTTTAAAATTTTGCTTAAATATTTATGAAATGTTTGCACTGAAACTACTTTTTATCTTATTTGGGACTATATATGATTTTCCTTAATGGACCATTTGTTGTTCATATCACAAAAAGAATAGAAATATTTCCATCATTATTTTGTGTATTGCAAATGCTTTACAAAATATTTTTCCACCAAAAGAAAAACCTATACAAAATGTCCTACTTAAAAAAAATAAACACCATTGCTTTCGGAAGATACCACTTACTAAACTGTACATTTCTAACAAGCATCTGTATTGAAAATACCCGTACTTTTGATATTACTTAAAAAAAACATGCCCCACAAGGATGGTTGAAGAAGATTATGAGTGTGTACTACTGAAAGAAAAAATGGATGTGTAAAATTTCATTGGTAATTCAGTATAGTGTGGATTTCCTGCAAATTATATTAAAAATGATTTATATGTTACATAAAAGTAAAATTTAAAATCAGTATAAATAACAATAAATAAAAGTTAACATTTTCTAATACTGAAAACAAACAAGTAGAAACAATGGAAATCAAACATGAAGTCAAAACCTGAAGTTGAAACTGATATAAAAATAGGTGATCAAGCACAATCAAACTTTTGTAGTCACATTTAGAACGAGTTAAAAACATATTTTATACACTAGAATTCTAATCGAAAAAGTGAGGATTGTGCAGGAATGGTAGAGTGTAGGTGATGCAGTATGATTGGTGAAGGATAGTCACATGATCAGCACATGTTGGTGCAATGGCATAAAAATGAAGGGGTATAAAAGACTGGTGCACTGTTGGAAATTTTAGAAATGTTGGACGTAGTACAAATTAGATGTATACGTATCATTATAAATATTCTTGTTAAAACTCCTAATATAGAAACAAATCAAGCACAATTAGTTATAAGTATTATTCTTTTTTACAAGTTTTCTGATCATGAATCAAAAAGCCTAAAATCAGTAACAAATTTAACAATGAATGAATGATTTCTAATAGATGACATGTTGTATACAATTTTAATTGCCTATTTCATGCCTTTATGGTACATTTATACATAAATCTTCTCATAAAAGTCACAACTTACAAATGCCAATGCATTTTAATATTTTCTGTTTCTAGTTCTTTATTTCTTTTACGATTAGTTCTTTATTTTTTTTACTATTATGAATTCTTTTGTGTTCTATTATGAAATCTAGTTTATAACATACCACAAGAAAAATTACTCGGATTGAAGTCCATTACAAATGAATAATTAATCTACTTAAATACAGAGCTTATTATAAATATTGTTATTTCTATCCTTTACTTTTCTTTTTATGAGAAATTTTTACCTTTTTTTTTCTTATGAAGCAGAATTTAGAGTTATAATAAGAAATATTTTTTACCTTCCATTCCAAGTCCATAAGCTGATTTGTACACAGTCAAGAGTGATTCAGTTCGGTCCAAAGAGGGTATTGAAGATGAATATAACAGTGGCTCATTTATCTTTTTAAAAGTCTGCAAATGACAACTGCAATTAATAAAAATATTACCCAAAAAGTTCTGCATGAAAAATAATTTGTATGTTTTGTTGAATTTTGTGCAAAGCTACTCAGTAGTTATCTGCACTAGCCATCCCTAATTTTGTGTGATAACTAGAAATGATGGTAGATATTCAACACCATCTACCACCAACTCTTGTGCTACTCTTCACAACATTATAATGCTTTCATGGCCAAAAGGGCAAGCATGTTCAGCAACAGATTTCAATCCCACAACTGCAAATTAAGATGAAATGTTGCTATTATCAGAAAAACATGCAAACATCAACAGTGCAAGATGAAATCTCTGCAATGTATGACCCAAGAAGTTATGGTTAGATCAGGATAAGTTAGATAAGTCCACATGAATATTTTTAAGAACCATGGAAAATCAAACCAGTGTTCGTGCTATCACATCTTTCCGCATACCTATGAAGTCAGCTGACTGCATATACTCAGATCTGTTTATTTTATTCACTTAAATATGATCTTCAAACCCTTCACTGTCCACATACAGTGAAGGGTCTGTAGAAAATACATGAAGATGCGTGTTCTAAAAAATGACCAATCATCCTTCACAGAAATCTTCTAAACTAAAAATACTGTGTTTGGAAATAGATCATGTGTAATTCTTTCTATCAGAACGATTATGAATAATGATGGAAAAGTAGTTCTAAAGGCAACACCAGACACGAGTCATGTTTATGAAGTACATTTAGCCCTCTGTTGTTTAGTGATATATACAGCAATGCGCAAATTTATTAGAACATCACATTTCTTCTGTAGCTTTGACTTATGTCTATAAATTAAACCTACTGTAGTTTTAAGTGTTGGAAAAAGCATCAACATAGACAAATTATTGATTTTCCTCACTTTATTCAAGACTTTGATGTGCTATACATCTAACTAAGTTAAAAACAACACATAGCTGTAAATTAGTAAGTACAGTAAAATTTTTAAGAGTTGTTCACGATGTGTTATCTAAATACAAGGTAGTGTAATATTGTCACACATGACTGCCTGTACCAATCATTACTGACAAAATTATGAGACTTTCACATTCTACATTCTTCATGCGGGTACATGTAGACCATGGATATAATTAACCCAAATGCCCAGATCCTGTACATATGAGGATTTGTTGAGACATGAGCTTTGACATCCCCCATGCACCAAATATGCACCACAAAATGCCCCGTACACAAGACAAGCACAACTACTTTTATTCAAATTTTGTACCATAACAAACTAAACAGCATACAGTTTGCACATAGCTGTCCACAGTCAACTTCTAACAAGTTTTATCAATGACAATAAGTTACACGAAAATAAAGCCACGTGAAAGTACCACAAGATTAACCCTTTCACCTCAGGTAGGTCAATGTGCACGTCAAACTTTCGCAGAGTTACATTCAAAACTTAATTGAACTACTTTATTATCAATGTATATGGAAAAACTCAACATCAGAACATAGATAATATATCAAAGTTTAGTATTATTATTTAAGTTCTTAATTTTATAAGGAAATATTAAAAAAATGTTCTCACTCTCCTTTAGTATGAGAACTGTGACATTTGTTATCCATGTCTTCCACCTTATCTAATGTTTTTACCATCCCTCCGAGAAGTATGAAATGTTATGTAAATAACTCATAACAATGTTGTCATTGCTCAGGCAAAGCATAATTTATATAGCCTTTAATATTATTTAGTTACATAGCAATAAAACAGAAAATCAGATCCCTATTGCCATGCCCATCTTACAAGTCGTCTTACCCCAGCCATGATAAGCACAAAGGTCAGTGGCAAAAAATCTCCACATGAACCAGGCAATAAATATGCAACATAATCAAGAAGGATCTGCATCTGGAAACAAGGTTACCCAGGTATAGGTTCACCAATATAAATCTTCCAGTCATTCCTTCTATTCAATCATCAGAAAGAGAATGAAATGGGTGTTCATGCTATTCCATTCAAATATATACTGATCAAGTTACCAGGCACAGCATTAATGTGTTGTATCTGTTAAAACAGGCACTGTGATACTGTCATCCTCATGCATTAGGTGGATTATGGAGTAAATGTAAGGGGAAATTATGTGCTTTAGATGAGTTAATCTTATAAAGAAGCCTTCTGTAATGGAACATTGCTAAAGGGCTAATGTCAAGATGTACAATCATCTGATGGAGCACGATTGGACATGATAAAATGGACTATACCGATGTGGTAAGGCTCCAAAATCATTTTAATATAATATACTCAACCCTGCGGCCCGGCATGGCCAGGTGGTTAGGGCACTCGACTCGCAATCTGAGGGTCGCGGGTTCAAATCCCCATCCCACCAAACATGCTCACCCTTTCAGCCGTTGGGGCATTATAATGTGACGGTCAATCCCACTATTCGTTGGTAAAAGAGTAGCCCAAGAGTTGGCCGTGGGTGGTGATGACTAGCTACCTTCCCTCTAGTCTTACACTGCTAAATTAGGGATGGCTAGCGCAGATAGCCCTCGTGTAGCTTTGCGCAAAATTCAAAAACAAACAAACACTCAACCCTCTCTATAAACTAAATGCTGTATATCACATATTAAGTTTATGATTTACCAACAATAATGCTTTTTTTTTATAATATACTCATAATATCTTAGTAAAATAGCTTGAAATCATAGTAGCAAAACATTCTACTTATATACATTATGCTCAGTCATACTTAAACCTAAAAATAAA